GAAAGAAGGGAAAAGAAAAAATATGAGAAAAGGAAAACAAATGGAAACAAAGTCTTTGCAAATAGGGAAGGGTGGAGGGGGTGAAGGGAGAACGGGGAAGGGGGAAAAAATAAGAACCAAGATATGTCATGTAAAGGTACAAGGTCCCAATGATGAATGTAATTGTATTTTATATCTAAAATGTATCAATAAACTTAATGGAGAAAAAAAAGTGGCAGGGCTGGGGGTTTAGCTCAGTGGTTCTGCCGTCTGCCTCGCAAGCGCAAAGACGGGAGTTCGATCCCCGGTACCTAAAAAAAGAAAAAAAAAGTGACAGTCCTTGGAGAAAAGTTATTAATTGGATTATTTCAAGAAGAGAAAGTAAGACATCAGAGAAAGATGAAGTCATATGAGAAAGAGAAAGCTGGGGGTAGCTATGGAGCCCAGGAAGAGGAGGACTGGACGAGAGGACGTTGTTGACATTTCTCTAGCACTTTCCAAGGGAACACAGCTCTCATTCTTACACTGTCTTCCTTTGGACCTATCTGTAAAGGGAAGAAAACTTATCACTTGGCACTGTTCCATAATCAATAATCTCTTAAAAACAAACTTTCTATCATTTCCAAACTCCTTTTTGGCCATTGTTTCCTAGCTGGCTTACTCAGTACCCGTGAGCGTTCTCCACATGCTTCCCTTTCTCCTCCTTCTCCAGTTGTGCAGCTCAGAAAACTGGCCCCAAATCTCAGGCCCTACAGGTCCCATTGGAAATGTGATAAAAGCATTTTCACCTATAGATTGTCTTTTGGGGGAGTGTGATGAGTATGGCTTGAACTGTCAGGCCTAACTGCTTGTGTGAGAATTGGCATAAGTATATTTCTGAACTCACACTCTGAATCATGAGGCTCTACTCAAGGACCCTCTTGGGAGTCATTTCTGGGGCAGTGTAGGTTGGACCCCTTTTTCTTGGTAGGAGATAACCCTGTGTAGCTCCTTTTCCTTTTCCAGGTCTGAAGCTCCAGTCACAAACCCACAAAGGTACCGGTGCTCCACATGAATCACTTTCTCCAGCCACATCATCACTGTTGATGGCTTTCCTTTCCTTCTTGAATAATAGTAACCCGGAACTAAGTGCCAGGTTTTGGTATAAGTACTTGATGAGCTTTAACTTATTTAATCCAGTAACTCTTCAAGTTAGCTACCATTATTATAACCATCAACCCCTTTTTACAAAGAAAGAAAGTGAGGTTTCGAGAAACTTGGGAACATGTTTGAGGTGACATAGCAAATAAGAAGTGGAGGCCAAGTGAGTCCCCGGGTGGTCTAGATTTAAAGCCCACTGTCACTTCCTGCTCCATGGCACCTCCCCAGGAAAGCAGCCCTTCCAACGCTCCCCACGTGGGGGTGGCTACTGAAAAGTTTCTCTTTCTGGAGCTGAAGAGGTTGAGCTCTGGATTTGCAAAGCAGCTCAGGGCACAAGGACCTTTGGATGGAACTGAGATCAAAGTCAAAGTAACCACTTCTTCCCTGGCTCTCATCTTTTCCTGCTAAGACTGGACCTTGCTTCCAGAAAATTTCCCTCATATCTGAGGAAGTAGGAAATCCCCAGCAGTGGCCCCCATCTTCCCCCAGCACCTATCTAGCCTCCTGAAGCCAGAACCCTACTAAGACCCCAAGGTAAGTGCCACAAAGGGATACCTATAGGCCCCCATCAGCTGCCCATGCGGCTCTTGAAACCCTTGGGGCTGAGGGCCAGGAAGAGTATCCCTTCCCTCACAATGGCTTCTGACTAGCCAAGTTCTTTAAAAAGTATTTTTTCTGGAGGTCTCATTTTTTTTTTTTTTTTTGAGGCAGGGTCTAACCCTTTATAGTTCAGGCTGGTCCTAAAATCACTATGTAGCCTAGGCTGGCCTCGAACTCACAGTGATCTTCCTGCCTCAGCTCCCCAAGTGCTGGGATTACAGGCGTGTGCCACCAAGACCAGCTGGAGATCTCATTTTTAACTGGGAAAAACACAATGCCATCATTCAAGAAAAAAAAGGAAGTAATCTTTTTAATCGCCCATAGTTCTACTACATTAACAACATTTTTTTAGTATATGTGCTGCTGAAGCAAGCACCATTAACACAACTTTTTAATTTTTATGATTTACCTTCAACATCTATACCTGTCTTTGGAGTGTTTTAATCATACTCAGGCAGTGTTTTAAAGCACATAGGCACACTTGTAATCCTAGCACTTGAGCGGTTGAAGAAGGAGAGTCATCTCAAGTTTGAGGCCAGCCTGGGCTACATAGTGAGTTCAAGGCCATCTTGAACTACATAGTGAGACCCTGTCTTTAAAAAACAGAAAGAAAGAAAGAAAGAAAGAAAGAGAGAAAGAGAGAAAGAGAAAGAGAGAAAGAAAGAAAGAAAAGAGAGAGAGAGAGAAAGAAAGAAAGAAGAAAGGAAAGAAAGAAAGAAAGAAAGAAAGAAAGAAAGAAAGAAAGGAGCACATATGGTCTGTCAACTTAAATAGCAACTAGAGAGAGATTCTCCAAAGTCTAATGAGATTTATTTGGGAATAGCAGAGCATTATAGTGGTAATATGTGTACCATAGTAAACTATGTGCTTATTCAAGGAAGCTGAGGCAAGGGGACATCTTTAAAGGCAAAAATGAGGATTATACAAGCTATTTTGAAATAATAATACTTGGCTAAAGATAGGCATTAGTTCAAGATTAAACAGATAGTTGCTGGACGGACATCCTTGCAGAAGCATTTTTGTGTAAAGTTGTGGTTCTAGCAGCATCTTTTGTGAATAGTTCTTCTTATCAGACATAGTGCATAAGATCCCCTCCTTTGTTTATTTTTTTGGTTAGGGCTTGACAAAAGTGACTCCATTTTTATTTTGACAACTTTCACACTTTCAAGTAAATAAACAAATATCCAGGCACCAGAAGAACATTGATGCATGTGCTAAAAGTTCTGATTTCCAGAAGTATTCTCCAAGGAAGAGACAGGATAATGAGAGGAAAAGCAAAAGAATACAGTGGAACCTGGGCACAGTTCCAAGCTTGTACACTCTCCTTTGGGAATCCAGGTTGCTGAGTTGCTGAGAAGAGGGAGTTGATGCTGGGCCTAGCTTCACTAAGAGCTGAAGAGCTGAGGATACCTCTGTGACATGTCCCCAGTAGAATGATGTCCCACCCCCCACCTCCAACCATCTAGAAAAAGGAAGCAGAAAAGAGAAATTGCAACAGGCAGTGTACTTCCTCCTCTCACTCTTGGGACATGGCTGACTAGCAGAAAGCAGCTCTGTGACAGAAGAGAGCCCCAGAGGAGGAACGCTCTGCCACAGTCTAATCAAAGCATCAAGGTAATTTTAATTTTTATTCTTCTACTCTTGGCAAGAAGAGTGAACAGAGCCTTCTTATTTTCCTCCAGGGGCAGCTGAAACACACTCCTGGAGGTGTGATGTCCCCTTTCCTGTCTTCCTCAGGTTTCTCCTAACTTGGAGACAGGTCTTAGGTCTTCAAATTTGGGGTTCTTTAAAAGTACATGGAGCATTCTGGAGATCACATTCTTTGGTAAAATAATGGAGGAAAATTACTTGGCTTGACTCATAACCGTGCCCCCAGTTCACAGTGCTATATATAGCCACTGTGGACAGGACAACATGCTAGATCTGAGGGGAGTTCCAGGGCAGCAGAGGTCAGTACTAGCTGACTGGCTGGGACCCAATGTGGCTGCCACTTCCTGTTTTAGGATTAAATCAGAGGCCACAGGCTAGAACAAATTGAGAACATCTTTCTGTAATATATACTGAGCTCGGTAGGACTAAGTGGAACTTCACTTTACCTCTTTGCTTTGAGACTAAGGAAAGTAATCTCACATTCCAGTCTCTTCCCAAACACTCTTCCTGAAGTGGGCCCCAGAGGTTGGTCAGCTGGTGGTGACTTCATACTCCCTTGTTTCTTGGCCCTTTTAGAGCTGGGACTAGGTTTGAATCCTGACTCTGGAAAGATCTGCCCTGTTTCGGAGTAGAAGCTCTTCCATGAGTCTGTGTAGGTCTGTGTACCTTCAAAAAGGAATAGCTGATGTGTGCCTTTGTCCTTTCTCCCTTAGGATTTAGCTTTGGCCACCATGGGTTCCATGAATTCCAGAGGTCACAAGACAGAAGCTCAGGTGGTGATTATGGGATTGGACTCAGCAGGCAAGACCACACTTCTGTACAGACTGAAGGGCTACCAGCTGGTGGAGACAGTACCCACTGTTGGTTTCAATGTGGAACCTCTCGAAGCTCTTGGGCACATCCCACTGGTTCTCTGGGACATCGGGGGGCAGACCCAGCTCAGGGCCAGCTGGAAGGACTACCTGGAAGGCACTGATGTCCTTGTATATGTGCTGGACAGCACAGATGAAGCCCGATTGCCCGAGGCAGTGGCTGAGCTCATGAAAGTCCTGAGCAACCCCAACATGGTCGGTGTCCCTTTTTTGTTGCTGGCCAACAAGCAGGAGGCGCCTGATGCTCTTCCACTGCTTGAGATTAGAAATAGGCTCGGACTGGAGAGATTCCAGGGCCACTGCTGGGAGATCCAGGCCTGCAGTGCCCTCACTGGCCAGGGGCTGCCAGAGGCCCTGAAAAGCCTGCGGAGCCTACGGAAATCCCACAGCCATGGGTGTGTCTCCATGTGAGAGCTCACAAGGCATGAAGAGCAAGAAATCATGACTGGGATGGAGCAGCTTATCTCTGCCCATATGAACCAAATGGACCAGCTAATCCTTGAGAAATTCAGCTCAGGTTTACAAACAAAAAAATATTTCTATTCTTGGACGGGATATTTTCTTCGTGGGACTTATTCTTAGTGGTGTTTATGTTGAAAATCAAGTAGTCTTTGAACAACGAGACTCTAAGGGGAAGAAAACTTAACACAGTTCATTTAATAGTTCATTACCAAGTGTGAATGAAGACGAGGTTACATATGTAATAAATTGAAGCCTAAGATCATAAAGGCAAATAGGTTTCAAAATCAGGTTTGAGTATCCTCTGGACGTGGTCACAGTCATTGTGAATGATTTTCCCTGGTGAAATTGGAACATGCCATTATCTCTCTCAGGGCAAGTAATTGGGGCTGGCAGCAGTGGGGGTGAGCCTGTTCCCACAGAACCTGCAGTTGAAAGGTTCACTGGGGTCTTTAGCCCTGGTCAAGGGGGCTGGGAGTTAAGGCCTTTCAAAATTCACCCTTCTCTCTAACCCTGATTAATACTTTTTCCAGGTTTTGTCATTCTATGATGCTTTTGGTGGGGGTGGGGTGGGATGGTGGTTTTTTTGTTTTGTTTTGTTTTGTTTTGTTGGTACTGGGGATCGAACTGAGGACCTTGTGCTTGCAAGACAGGTGGCAGCACCACTGAGCTAAATCCCTGCCTGTATTTTTTTTTTCTTAACTCTTCATTTAGTTTCTTTTTTCCTTCCCTTTCTCCTTCTTATAGCACATATCTTTCCTTAAGGAGCTTTTGGTTATTTCATTTGTTTAATCACTTAATCAAAAATATGTAGAGCATTTCATTTGTGGCAAAAGATGCTGAGTTTTTAGATGTGGACTAGGTGTTTTGTAGAAGTTGTGAATTCTGAAAGTAAGGATAACAACAAGACTCTTCCTCATTATTCATAGCACATTGGAGAGCAAAACACATACAGCATCCTTAGAAGGGTTTTCAGGTGATCATTACCGAGGATCCATGAAGGCTCTGAACTTATCTGCAAAACATTATTCCTCAGGCCATTTTTCTAAAGAAGAAGATCCATAACTTTTATCAGACTTTCAAAGATACCTGGGATCTCCCCAAAATTAAGAATCACTGATCTAACCTAACCCCTCACCCAACCTGGGGACACTTTATGTAACATGAGTTTTTTAATGGCAAAGAGCTTACATTTGATACCTGTTCTTATGTGAAGCAGCACTAAATGTTAGATAGTGCTTCCTCTCCTGCATTAAAATTAGCCTCTGTATAGCTGCTGCTGGTGGTTCTGTCCTCTCTGGAGTAACACAATACAAATTGGCCCTTGGTGCTCTCTTAACATCAGACTTGCCAGTTCCCTGTACCCAGATTCTTCCCTACCAGCTTTGTGTGCCTGATTCTTGCTAATTTTCATCAGTCAATGTGTTTCAAGGCTTCCTGTCTTAGATACTAATGATGCAAAGATGAATGAGCAAGGGTCTCAGGCCTCGTGGAACTCTGGTTAGAAAAGCAAAGTACAGGGGCTGGGCTCTGTGCTTGGTATTTTATATAGATCATCTCTACTAACAACTCTGCACAGCAGGTATATTCTCATTTTATATAATTAGAAACAGATGGTTAGAGAACTCATGATTCTTGCTGCTTGAAGCACAGAGCTATTAGGTGAAATAACTAGAATTTGAAACAAGATGTGTCTGACTCTGATGGATGCGTTCTTCCATGATATCATGCTTTCAGAAGGTATAAGCTAAGGGTAGGCCTTCAGTCAGCAGATGTGCTGGAGGAGCATCCTAGTCAGAGGAGAGAGACTGCTTGGAAGCATTAGGAAAGGTGTGGGAAAGATTACTAAGCTAGTGTACCAGGAACAGGAGGTGGGGGTGAGCGTTGGGAGAGAGGGATATTATAAAGGGAAACGAAACTGAGAAGGAAGTTTAGGTCAAGTTAGGGATGGCTACTTGGACTTTAGGAGTTTGGCTCAGGGACATGAAATCATGGCCTTACCAGTCAGGAGGTTAACAGTGGCAGCATAGGGGTCAAGTACAGAGGAGGTAGGTACTCTAGAGACAAGAAGGCTGGAAGACCCGCTGGTTGAGTGTCATAGAAGAGAGGAGAGGAGAGGAGGAAGAGAGATGATAAAACTGAAGGGAAGAAGATGAGAGAGGAAGTATTTGAAGGTGGCTTAAAATTTTGAGCCTGTATCACAGGAGGAACCAGAATTCCATGAAAAGAGAAGGAAAAGCTAGGCAGGGACTGGGCCACAGGGTTTAATGTTTGAGATGCTGCGTATGAATTCAGTTATAGCTTCTTTAAGGTCATCCTGTATCTGCAGTCCTTGAGATGCCGAGTACCTGCTGTAGGTGTCTGCTGGCTCCTGTTCACAAAGGCTCATTTCCACCCATGATGTGTCACTTCTTCTTGTGAGCCTATTGTCAGTAGGATTTGTTTTTCCTGTGTGACTTCAAAGTACCCTGGGTTGAGTCATTGCCTTTAAAGAACTAATCTGCTTCCCCTTTTCTCTCTCTCCTTTGTCTGTCTGTCTTTCTTTCTTTCTTTCTTTCTTTCTTTCCTTTCTTTCTTTCTGTCTGTCTTTCTCTCTCTCTCTCTCTCTTTCTTTCTGTCTGTCTTTCTTTCATCCCCTGCCTTCCTTCCTTCCTTCCTTCCTTCCTTCCATTCTTTTCTCTCACAGTCCTGGAGATTGAACCCATTTTGCATTAAACCAAAAACAACTTGGATCCCAGAGATTTCAGTTGTTTTAGACTAAATATTACATTGTTTCACTTCTTGGGCTCCTGGACTTTATAGGCAATCTAAATCTAGACTTTGGAGCTGAAGGTAAAGCACTTGCCTAGAATGCACAAAGTCCTGGGTTGTATCCCTATCACCATCCAAAAAGAAAAAGAAAATCTGGACTCTGTACACAGGCTCCAGAGAGTCCATTTCTGTTTCTGAGAGATATGTTTTTTCATTCCCTTGGCATCCATGACCAAAGACAATTTGTTTCTTCATACTTTTCTGAGTTTGTGTGTAGCATTTTCTAATCTCCTTTTAAGGAAGGAACTTATCTTTGATGCTCTTGATTTTGTGGAACTCAGATCAACATCTCTCCTTCAAGCAAGCCTACAGCCACAGCTTTGGTTCCCATATGGGAGTGTTAACCTCTATAGGGCTCAAGAACTTCAATATGGCTCCTCTAAAATCTCCACAGGCTCCAGGCTTCCTGCTTTGGCTGTGGGTTCATTTCTTCTACCAGAGAAGCTTCTTTCTTTTGTTCAAACACAGCATACACTAAAAATTTTTAAATCTACTTTTTGTTTCTAGTTTACTGATTATTAGTATTTTTGTTGTTGTTCTTGTCTTGATACAGGGTCTCGCTATGTAGTTCAAGCTGGCCTTGAACTCACTATGTAGTCCAGGCTGGCCTCAAACTCATGGCAATTCTCACGCCTCAGCCTCCTGGGTTCTAGGATTACGGGGATGTGCCACCATGCCTGGCTTAGTTTACTGAATATTTCCTTGATTTTGTAATGGGAAAACCATCTGCCGTATTGCTAGATGTCCTGAACTTGTTTTGCTGTGTGACCAGGAGACTTCCCAGAGTGCTGGCAAGAGGATGATCCGATTAGATCTTCACTGAGGAAGACAACTGGGCAGTGTTTGGGTGGAGAGAAGATCCTGAAAGCAGGAAGTCACATTAGAGGAAGACCATGGGTATCTCTGGGCCTGGGCACCACTTGTCTGCAGCCCACCGCTACGATTGCTGCATCATGCTGTTATCATTCTTTTCCCTATTCCCTTGAAAATTCCTCTGCTTCAGCCAGGCCAGGTTTTTTGCTGACCCTAGGAGGCACATTGTAGTCCTTGAAAGCAGATATGGTTGGTCTTAATAAGCCTCAAGAATCTCCTTTAAAAAAAAAAAAGATTCTCCTTTCATAAGTTCCCTCAGGTAAGATTTCCAAGAAAGGACAACAAGAGCAGAACATCGTAATAGCAACACCCAGTGTTGTATAACTCCCTGCTGGTCCACTTCTTGATTGAAGGTACTGAATATCAAATCACTTACACAGGATGGTCCAGTTGATAGGAACCATATAATTCTCTGGATGGAAGGTAGGTCTGAGAGTCTCAGAGTCCAAGAGCAACTCTGCCAGCCTTGTACTCACTGGTTTCTAAAACAGGCTGAAATGAGCATGGGAATCCCACAGGATACAAGCTCTGTGTATTCTCCAAGGATTTCTGATGTCCCCTGTGCATGTGCTCTGGCCTGTCAAGCTTCCATGTCAAGTGGGCAGCCCTTGTAGTGACCATAGTGGTGGTAACAGTCCTGTAAGAGAACATAACTGTAGGGAAATCTCTTAATACGCTTGCTCTTCTCTGCTTAAGTTGGGCTCCTGCGCTTGAACCTCCTGTTCAAATCCTACCTACACTTCTTAAGGACACTCAGATTCTACCTCTCCAGGAAGCTTGGCCCTAGGCTCCCTGGTCTATTTCTTCCTAACACAAGTCTATTTCTTCCTCTGAATTCTTGTGGTACTGATTGTTCAGGCCCCACTTCTTAGTGCCCAGCATCCTTCTGCATTGACTTGAACGGTATGAATTCCTAGTGATATGGGACCTTATATCCCTTTGAAATTCTTCAAAGCTGGAAAAAATAAGAGATACTGAAAGTTGTTCATTAAATTCCTGGATGGATAATGAGTAACTAATTAAAGTCAGGGGACTGGACATCACAGTGGGGAGTCTCCAGGTCCTCTGAAATACCCAGAAATGAGAACACCAAGAGACTCACTGGCTTGAGGGCCACCATGTCAGAACCAATCTCTACCTTAGGCATCCTTTTGCAACTAAAAGTCATACATACTCTTTCTAGAACAAGTCATGCTCAGAGGTACCTATTAATCTGTGTAGGAGAGGGGTTGGTAAGTGAGCATCATAACCAGACTGGAAGTCTAACAAGAATGACAAGATTAAATCATTCAGTATGTGCCTCTATTACGGAGAGGCAAGTTAGGCAGATGATAGCAGGCAGCTAGGGAAGGGCCAGGCCCATGGTAGAGTCAGGATGACCAGGCCCTAAAACAAAATTGTTTGTTTTAAGCCAGGCATTGTGGCTCACATCTGTAATTCCAGCACTTAGAAGGCTGAGGTCAAGAATTTACAAGAACCAGATAGACAATTAAGTCCAGGATGTAACAAGCAAGATAATAAGCAAGGTGATGGATGCCCACTGTGATAACTTCTGCTCCTACCTATCTGAAAAAACAATTTTTCCATTTTTCTCACTTCGTTC